GAAGAAACTAGTGAAATGCTACATTTGGAGCATAGCTCTGAATGGGGCTGAAACATGGACACTTAGGGCAGTAGATCAGAAACATCTGGAAAGTTTTGAAATGTGGTGTTGGAGAAGGATGGAGAAGATCAATTGGACCGATTATGTGAGAAATGAAGAAGTGTTAATTGGAGTCAGTGAACAGAGGAATATCCTACATGAAATAAGAAAACAGAAGGCTAATTGGATTGGTCATGTTTTATGCAGAAACTGCCTTCTAGAAGAAGTTATCGAAGGAAAGATAGATGGGCGGATAGAAGTGACAAGAAGATGTAAGAAGATGCTGGATGACCTTGGGGACAGAATTGGATACTGTCATTTGAAGGAGAAAGCTCTAGATCGCATTAAGTGGAGGAATTATTTTGGAAGAGACTGTGAACCTGTCATCTTGACAGATTACTGATGATGATGATATTCAATATATACAGTGTGTCCATGATTAACTTTAAGCTCTTCTTAAGGTGACCATTACTTTAATTAATTAACAGTTAGAAAAAAAAGAGTGTACAAGGAGACTGACAACAGTGACCATTTCAGATCCAGTCCAGCGGCCTAGTGATCAACATAACAGGTTTCAAAGCAAAAGGTTCTGTATTTCATACCACCAATACCAAGAACAAATTCAGTTAAGAGACAGCAACAGGAATATCTCTTAAAATTCCTTGTTATTTGTCCAAAACATCTTTGATAAAATGCCATAACTTTGAACAGGCAACTTTACAGACAAAAAGTGCTGTTCATTGAACAAGATATATGATTGGCAAGTCTGATTCCAATTTTATGTTGAAACAATGATGCTGTATTCTCAAAGATGTTTTAAACACATAGTACCTATTAATATCTGGAAGACAGAATAGCTCAGTCAGTAGGCCTAGTGACTAAGCTACAGGCTGGACTATCAAGGAAATCAGGGTTCACTTCCTGGAGGGTATTTCCAAGGGGGTAGCGTGACAAGGTTGCGAATCTAACCACTCACTTCCATCTACTGTCAAGGTCAAGACTGGCAAAGTTAAACTTCCACTCTCCTACAAGTCTTCATGGTGTCATGCTTAATTAATTAAGAACAGGGACAACTGGAAAGCTATGAGTATATACAGTACATTGATCTTTACTGACTATGCTTTGCACTAATACAAAAGCCCCTGCATAGTTCAGCTTGCCAAGCATTGCAGCATTTCAAGCCAATGACAATCACAGCTCTATAATTTTGTTTACTGCTCTAACCAGGTATGTGTTTTGCTTTCCTTGGTGATTTATTTATAAATAGTGATGTTATGAGGTTCCTTCTTAGTCTAATGGGATAAGTCCCAGTCCTATAAACATTTTGCAGATATGATATTCACACTTAAATCTTGCCAAGTGGAGCAGAGTGAGTGAGATGGAAGATGAAATAAAATTAGAAATAAATACAATTTTATTTATACTACTTTCAAGAGCATGTAATTTTTCCCTTGCCATAATGACATAAATTTGCTGATTCTGGACAGCAGATACAGGGTCCCTTTCATTGGGGGTAATGCAGCTGACCACAGAATTCCTTTCAGTGTTGAGGTTAACAAAACTGAAAACTGAAATTGCACTCCATCTTCACACATGTCTTCATGGCTTAGCACTGAATTAAATAAGCACAGGGACAAATTTACAGGAGCTAAGTTCAAAGAATGACTGATGAAGGAATCTTATCTGACAGTGAAAGTGAGCTTAATGAAGAATGTGTAGCAGCAGATGATAACAGTAATATGAATGTAAGCAAAGATAAACTTGAACAAAATCAGAACAGACTCGCATTTCTGGTAGTACAGCCTTGTATTTGAGATCTTAGTGGACTGAGCAGACAAGAGACATCCCATGTGAACAAATATTCTACACCAAATCCCACCGTTCTCTTCTTCTTCCTGGAAGAGATTCAACAGTTGGTGATATTAATATTACAAACAAAATTTAGACACAGTTGACACTGATGAGAGATAATCAAAGTTCCCTCCACTGCATCAAAGCAAACTTTCCATTTTTGTTTGTAATATTTTTTTAACTGTAGGGATATTCCAATAACTTGATGATATATTATTCATATATTTCAATTTCTGTAGTTCTGCAGTCATGCAACACAGATGATGAAAGCTACACAAGTGACAGTGAAAAATCTCACTATACTGAGGCAACAAAAACAGTCTCATCTGCATCTTTTTTAATCTGTTACACTTCCTCCTCTTGCATACTTCTCCATATACTCCTCCAGTTGCTTAGCCACTATTTTCACCTAAATGATGGTAATGATAACTTTTTCTAGTTAACTGAAAGGGACTATAGGAGTAGACAGAAAGGGGAAGCTTTGAGTGTTGTCATCCTCACCATCCATGGACCTTCCTTTTTGGCTTCAGTACAGGAGTGTAGAAGGAGTAGGCCATGAACTTTAAACAAAAAATCTCATTTTCTCCTCATATTTATTTTAAGATTTACATACAAGAACAATATACCACATTTTTTGGACTAAAATTTTTTATACTATTACAGAATTTGGCACAGTATTTTAATTCAGATACTTTTAGTACAATATTACTAGCAATAGATTCAAAGATATATCTTTATTCAATACTAATACCATTACTAACTAAACATCCCCACCAAAGTTAAAATCTGGCTGCCAGCCCTGTAGAAAAGGTGATCTGAATCCTTCATTCCTGTTTGATATTGCAAGCTATGCCTCAGACTGGGCAGCATAAAATATTCTGCAGTGACAGTGGTCTCTTTATTAAGAATGAAAAGTATAACATTTAACACAATGAAGCATTGAGCTCTGTACCTCATGACTGTCTTGAGTTACAATTGTCACCCTGCATGAGCACTTCAGTTATCATAAGTATTTCAGTCTCATTACTTATAATTTTTGTTTTCATGTCAGGTGAGTTCGATTTTGTATGTCAAAGCATTTGGACAGCTCCAGCCCTCACACAGCAGCACTGTGCTGAACCACAATGAGGGCAACTATGACCCACAGCACTGCCTGAAACTTTGGAGCTGCTGACAGCCCCTGCTCCGTGGTGCGTTCTGTTTGATGCTGATCATCTTGCTCCTGCTTCTCCTTCAGTGTTTCAGTGATAGTCCTGCTGATTGTCCTCATGAGTTGGTAGTTACTAGAGCCACCACCACTGTTATTGATGCAATCCCCACGAAAGTCATCAGTGTCAACTGACCAAACCATTGTACCAGCCAAGTCTAGCTTCATGGCAAATTTAACCTGCAAAAGGAACACATCTACAGTCTGACCAAATGAAATTTTGTGAATCTTACCATAACCCACAATTAGCCAGGACTGCTCAGTCAGGTAAAATGACTGCTTACAGGATGATGACTCTGACTCCTAGCAGGAGTTTCCTCCATATTTGGACCAGTTCTGGAAACCGCCAAGACTCTTATGCAGTGGGTGCTGTACCAGGGACTACTTTCCTTAAGACAGACTGTGGAGCTCATGACTCACCTCCATCTAGCACTGAGCTTAAGACTGCTTGGATCTTTACCTCCAATGCATCATATGTCTTCATGGCATGGTGCTTAAGCATCGGGACATATTTACATATACCTTTTAATAATGAACCACCATGAACAAATTCTGTCTTGATGAAGTTTTGAGTACTCTTTGCACAAAATACAAAAAATAAAACAATGATATGAAGGTCATATCTGCCTGCATAGTCTTCCTCTGAAATTACCTGTTGGGCTCATGAAACCTGGTACTGGGGATTTATATAAAAAGTTGTCCCTCACATTTAATGTTGACCCCCACCAGTCAANAAAAGGAGAGCAAGAGTGGGAAGAAGATAGGGGAAGGAGGAAGAGAGTGAGGGGTATTAAAATCTAATTTTGATCTCCAATTTTATTTGAAATAATTTTCAGCATGGTGAATATTTAATGATCAGAAGGTAAATAATTTCTTACTCTCTTAACTGTATTGCACAATTAGCTTCGAAACAACAGAAGCTTATTTGCGATAAAATAACATCAGTGTCAGTAAGATATGCAAAATCACAAATACAATTAAAATGTATGTGTACTCCATACTCCTTTGGTACATAATTTTCCATTCCTGTTTAGGCAACCACTGGATGTTATTTGAAACCAAAATATTATGAAAGACATTTAAACAAATGTATATGTACATTAAAAGAGACTGAAACAAATGAAGAGAGAAAAGTCAACAGTCAGTAAACAAAGTAACTTCTACTAGAACTACAAAACACAGTAAATTAACACATTTCAGGGAAGAACTTCTAATTGTACTTCCCCATTACTGCCCTTATTTGGTTTAAACTGGGATGCCTCAGACAGTAAAGTGACTAGATGTGAGCTGCATGGCCCTTAATAGCTTGAGACCTTCCTCTAGCATTAACAGACTGCTTCTACAGCCTATTCAGTGGGTACTGGGGCTGAATTCCCAGGGGTAAAAAGGCTGAAACTTGATGCTGCTCATGCGGACCTCCATTTAGTGACGACATCTTGAAAGGGTGGAGCGTGATGTCCATGATTTTGTAGTCTTTTATGCACATCATGGTGCTCATGCACTGGGATAACTGTAAATGGCAGGGGGAGACTCCTGTCTGACTACAAAGAAGCAGAGGCACCAAATTCTGTAGTTCAGTGATATATTTTTGGGATGTCACTAAAGGTAATAAAGGTTCAACAACACTTAAATCACCATAATCCATACTAGTCATCTCATCTTGTTACTGCCTCCCCTGGTCATTGCCAGGTCACAGTCTTCTAACAAGGGCTATTCCTCATGCTCTTACAGCTCAAGAACTGAAGACTCAAGACTGGCTTGTAGGTCAAAGTCAAAGTAATGTTATGACTGATGGTCAGTCAGCCAGTCTCTCTTGGTGTCAAGACTCATCTGGGTCCCAAGACCAGAATTTTGTTACTGTCAGACAGCTGTGAGTTTGTTGATGTGGGGTGACCTTTCTGACGAGAGGACAGATCTGTCATTCAACATTGCTGCTGGACCTCACTAGTGTGGTCATTCTCAGATCTGAGTCCCATGGGACTCATGACCATATTTTCCTATCTCAGATTCAAGACCACCCCCCAACCTGGAGGGCCAAGTCCCTGTATTTATATCCCCAAAGAAGAGGGTGGCCCAGTTATACCCCCAGCTCAGGGTTCCTTTTCCACAGCCTTCTACGGCTTGTAGGAAAACAGTGGAGGCATTCAAACCAGCCTGTACATGGACAACCAGCTTGTAATGGCAGGTGGTCCTTGTTACATAGCCTCAGCATGATCTGCACAGAAAACACCACTTCCAAAAGTTCTTCAATTGTTGTGTATTTCTTACTGTGGTAGCGTGTTTTGGTTGCCGTTGAAATGTGTACACAGAACCGTCCCCTAGTAATGGAAGCCTGCTCTGCCAGCAGACATCTTACAATATTACTCTCCCGCCTATATCTAACAAGGGAATGGTCCGATCCGACATGTTGAAACCTGCCCTGATTTTTTTCTTACTGCAAGAGTACACACAACAAAATCCACTGTCAAAATTTTAGCTGCTAATATACACTGCAAGTATTTTTTAAAAATTGCCGAAGTTTTTATATTTATATGTATCATTTTTTGCGTACGTGGAACCACTTGTACCAGAGGTTTGTACAACCCCAGCTGTGGCGAGACAGCCCGAGCTTGACCTTGGATAACAAGGGTTACAAGGGTAACAAGTGTATAAACACTGTTAACACATACATCAAAATAAAATGGTAACTATGGTTGGATCTGGATAGTAAATCATTTGCAAATACTGTCAGAGTAACTATCAAAGAAAAACTAACATGTACTTGTCAGATTACGATGCATTTGTGTGCCGTGTTATCTGTCTACGTATGCACTGGAAGCCTAGGCTCTGACTCAGCCATGTTGAGTGCTGTGTATTGCCCTGCTCTGCTAGGGGTGGACATTTCTCCAAGCGTCTGGCAGGCTATAATATTGGTCATGTTCAGCAATTTTTAAAAAATACTTGCAGTGCGTATTAGCAGCTAAAATTTTGACAGTGCATTTTGTTGTGTGTACTCTTTCAGTGAAAAAAAAAATCAGGGCAGGTTTCGACATGTCGGATCGGACCATTCCCTTGTAAGACTTCCTGGTGGTCTCTTTCATTCTGGCTTTCAAATGAAAACCCTATGTGAATTCCTCTCAGCCTCCATGCTTGCTACATGTCCTGCCCATCCTATCTTCCTTGGCTTGATCATTCTACTTATACTTGGTAAAGAGTACAAGTTATGAAGCTCCTCATTATACAGTTTTCTCAAACTTTCTATCACCTCATTCCTCTTCGGGAAAATTAAAAAGAAATTTTATGCAAAATAACGTACACTTTCTCCAGACACCTTATTTTCTGAGACAAGTAAACAGGAAATGTTATGATATGCACAATTTCATAAGTTATATATTCAACAATCAGAACTGATCTTCCAAACATAAGTGAAGATTCCTGAAATCCTTTATTCTCGATAACAATAAAATGTAGTTTCCACAATGACTTGAATTTACAGAGTTACTTGCATATAAACATATGTTCAATGGTAAAAGTACCATTAACCTGCCAAAATACATATGTAGTTTCATCTAACAGAATGCAATAATGAAGAAACTCCAAAAATAATTACATTACAGATCATGTATATTAACAGAAATACAACATATGCAGAATGCCAAAGCAACACAATAACAGTTCACATACAAATATCTTGTAATATTTTACTTTCGATGTATTTGACGACGTTCTGTAAACAGCAAGGTTATGTAATATCAAACTGCAGGATGATTGTGACAGGAAATTAAGAAGCACACAGAGATAATTATTTATGGCTTATAATATTACCATACAGAATTCTGCTGTAGGAAAAGAACAAAACCATAGAAATATCAGAATACCTGGCACACAAGCTAAGATCAAAACAAGGACTTCCGGGATATAAATCTGAAGTGCTAAACCACTACTGCACCTCAAAATTCAGTAATATCTTACTGGAAGCTACAATAAAAGATATCACTGAACCAAACTTGCAATAAAAATTATTCATTTCAGATATCAGAGTTGTATCAATAATAAGAAAGCTTACCTTTTCCGCAATGCTACGCTCATCGTCATATGTGATTACTTTGTCACCCTGCACAGCATATGGTGTCATGGTATCGTCATCCCAGAATATCTTCCAGCCATCTGAGATGTTAACACAAATCTGCAATGGATCATTGATGATAAAAAGAATTGTCCATTTGGCTTTATTAAGTCCGAGTAGTTCTACCTTGCTATGGTGGAATAGGACTGAAGTGAGATTTTGGTTCTAGTTTCAGTGATTAAATTATCCCAGTCCATTAGGAACTGTCATCTTAAGTTTTTCTGTCCCATAGGAATAATACGAACAGAAAAGTTTGTCAAAAAGAAAGATCATGAGCACCTTTGCTGTTCTTACAAATATTTTGTTTCTGGCTGACTGAAATTATTTTCTATTAATGCGTGGTGAGACCACACAGAGTTTCAACTGAACAGAATTTTCTTTCAGTATACAATCATTTACTTTATTTTTTTCTCACGTTTATTTTTGTTGTTAGTGTGATTCAAACATTGGTGAATAAATGTACCTAAAACAAAGTAAAATAGAACCTAATCATAAATACAAATAAAAAGTAGAAAAAACCGATCCTAAGCAGGATGATTAAATTAATTCAAACAGGAGATGCTTAGATAAATAATGAGCTCCCCTTACAAAAGATCACAATTCATAAATGGAGGATTGATTAAATCAAGCAATAACAGGAAATACAACTGAACAGACACTTAAAGAAGTAAAATGTAGCATGAAATTCCCCATACTAAAAACCAACACTGGTGTACAAAACTGTCCTTAAATAGAAATATATTTAGCTGGATTATATTAGAAGGAACCTGTGGAAAAGGCAAAATCATGCATAACAAAGGAACAACATTGACAACAAATCTGACAATTGACAGGAAGAAGGAGAAAGATTAAGGCAGAAAATAACCATATGTATAGAGAAAAATAAAAATACAAAACTGTGAAATAGCCTATAAAACTGATAATAGGTCTTATAGAAAATATAGCTTATACAGCTGAGTAACGAATACACTACTGCCCAGTTACAGCAAACAAATCTAGTTTAGTGTGACAATAGCAGTTCCAGATCATTGTATATGCTTTGCAGTGTTGACTGGTGCCCTCCTTTGATGAGTACCACTCAATTAAATTACAGTGAAATACAGACCTAGCATTCCTGCATTTAGGGAATATTCTTTCTGGTCCTGGCTGAAGTGCAATATAAACACTGTATTATTTTCCTACATTTCGCTCATTTAGTGCGATTATAGTTTAAGAGTAATTACTAGTCATGTTGTCTTTGCTGGATATCATTACTGCACAACCATATCACTGGTGACTGATGTCACATATGGAATTGAAGTCTCGCCACTGGTTAGTCTGATTCTCAGCTGAGGTTCTTTCAGTGTTTGTTTCATATGTCAACTGTTAGAAATGTATCACACATTATTCATTACATAGTTGTATTTATCTGTGTAGAACTGATTCCTTGAACTACCCAAGAAAAAATGATTTTAGCCTTACAAGATGCAGAGTTTCTTGATATAAATTTGTATAACGCCCATTCAGCGAAAATCTTTGATTCAGTGTAAGAAACATCATTTCGGTGGTTCTTTTATATTGTGTGTGTGTGTGTGTGTATTGCAACGATGAGCTTCATTAAAAGTAAAGTAAAGCTATCCCTGTAACAGGCCGTGAAGGCCCATAGTGTTGTGAGACGTTAAGGGTCCCACATTATCTAGACAGTCGGCTCATAGATGGCAGTAAGGTTGTCAGCCTTATGCGCCAGCTGCGCTTCACTCCCCAGGAAAATTATTTAATTAATTCCTGGTACTCATTTCTATTAGAGGCTGAGTAAACCGCAGGGCCTAGTGCGGCCAAAAAGATTAGTCATTAGTTCATCAAAATTATCAGTGCACCAGACTGCTATAAGCTTATATTCAGAACTCACTGGAACATGAATGTAAGTGTGGAAGTGCTGTAGAAACTGAAGTGAGGTCTAGAATGTGAAAGTAAAATCATAGCAGCATTAAACACACACAAATAACCAAATTGTGCTTGACTTAATTTCATGGATACGGAGTTTTACGTGCTGATTTAAACAAGAAGTTCTAGGAAAACTGAACATTGCCACTTCTTTCAGGTGCTTCATTCTATGCTGTAAGTTAGCTGAGCAACTTCCTCACAACTAACTCATTACGCCAACTGTTGACTCTCAACTGCAACTCAAAGCCTTCTAGCAATGATTATCCACTGGCTATCCCTGGCTGTCAACTGCCTGTCAGGTCTGGTTATACAGCCTTTGCACAGACCACATAGAAAGGGGAGTGGACCACATATAAATCACAGTATTTTAGTCCACTGGCTGTTGCCAGCAACAGCCATCCCTGGCAGTCATAATGTCACAATATTATTGGTAGCAGGGAATTGAAGGACACAAAGGTGAGTGATCTGGAATGTGATGCTACATTTGTACCAAGTTTCATGGAAATCTCTAAGTTGTACCAATTATTGTTATAGGGTAGGAAGACAAATGGATGGCTATGATGATATATGCTTATCTGTCCTTGTAAATTAGGAAAAAGCTAAAGGTAAAATTGACCCTGTTCTCAATTAAACACCATGCTAGGAATATATATGGGGAAGTGGAGGCACTAAATGGGGTTGTCCACTTCACATTCTGGCCACTTTACTCTTATGGTAAGAACCTTGGTACCCATTGGATAGGAGAATGGGTTGGCCTCAGAATGAGTCTGGATGCTATGAAGAAGGGAGAAATTTGCTGCCCTTCCAGTAATCAAATTCCCCGGTTTTCCATTCTGTTGCCAAGTGACCGTGATCAATGAGTTACACCAGCTCTCAAAATTATGGGAAAAGGATAAAATAAATGTTCTTGAAATTTGTTTAAATGAAGGGGTCTGCGATGAGTATGAGACCCTTGTCACAGGTGCCTAAGTTGGTCAACAGTACCAGTTCCTCATGACTCCAATGTCAGACCATTGCAGTATGAAGTCAGCATCTTACTACCTTACCTGTGCCATGATAGGTTGAGATGAATAGCGGAAAAATCTGTATAAATGGAATTTATGAAGATTAAAGAAAAAATAAATGTCTTGGTATTCTCTCAGAAGCTGTTTTCTTAAGTCCTAAATCTGTCCAGGTCATTTCACTTCTAAAATGCTGACAAAACTAGTGACTTAATAGTAGCATATACCTCATTATAGCCCATAAAGCCATCCTCTTTGGTATAAGGCCCTGGGAACCCTTTAGGACCTGTAGGTGCACCCATCACAAGCGTGTTTTCCTCATTCTCCAACAGAAATGTGCGGCCATACAGTGGCAGTCCCAGTACCAACTTTCGGGGAGGCGCTCCTTGCTTGAGCAGGTACTTGATGGCATATTCCTGTCAAAATTAACACTTGCTGCTAACTGCATGTCAGTCTTAAGCTGACAACTGCTAATTATAAAAAGAACTGACTGAAAAGTGTTCTGTGGTGCTTGAAATCATCATTTAACAACCAAAAAATCAAGTATAATTTACTCATCCAACCATCTATGAGTTTCCCTGTAATTATGTTTGAAAAATCAGTTATGAGAAATGTGTTTTTCTTTGTATATTTGATGAGATGATGTCAACTTATGCTTTGAATATTCTAAAATACAAAGAGCATAAATGACAGTATTTCCTTAAGGTCTCAGCAAGAGATAGTACTCTATATTTTGTGAATAATGTATGTGGTTTTAGGTTGAACTGAACTTAAATAAGAAAAAAAAAAAGAGAGAGAGAGAGAACATACAGTCCACAACGACCTAATTCTCACGCCCTTTCAAGATATTTTCCCTTTATGTTAACATCTTATTTCATCATCATGGTAAGTTACTGATGTCAGCAGCATAAAAGTTTTTATCCTGGCTGTGTAACCAGCTCAGGACACTAAATTCTTCCATACTGACAGTTCAGATAGTACTGTAATACTGAACAATACTACTACAAAGGGGACCCCTTCATATACACAGTAACAAACACAAAAGACTTAAACATCTACACATATGTAAAACAAACTACCTGGGAGTGACACTAAGGGAAAAAGTGTGTAAAACAATTTACACGACAACAGAAATAAAGAATCAACATGACAGAGATATGAAGAAGGACCCCTCATGTTGCATCATCCCATGATTCATCAACCAATAATCATGATCATAACACAGACACCAAAACAAAAAAAAAACGATTTTTAAGTCATAAGCTCAATTTTAAGACTATTTAGGATTAACCCACAACGAACACATAGAGTAGTTATTTAAATTATTTTAAAAAATCTTACTCTCACTCACTCATTGAGCTGAGCCCTTCTTGAGAAGCCACCAATTGCACAGTTACTTAAGAACTTCCAAGCATTTTATGGAACCTGAAAGTTCATTACTGTGATCACAAGAGCCCTCCACTGGTCCATATCCTGAGCTACATCAATCCAATCCACATCATCCCATCCTATCTCTCTAAGATCCATTTTAATATTGTCCACCCACCTACGCCTTGGTCTCCCCAGTGGTTTCTTTCCATCTGGCTTTCACACCAATATCCTATATGCATTCATCTTGTTTCACATTCATGCTACATGCCCTGCCCATCTCATCCTCCTTGACTTGATCATTCTAATTATACTTGGAGAAGAGTACAAGTTATGGAGCTCCTCAGTATGCAGTTTTTTCCAACCTCTTGTTACTTCATCCCTCTTTGCTCCAAATATTCTCTTCAACATCCTGTTAGTCTATGTTCCTCCCTTAGTGTGAGAGACCAAGTTTCACACCCATACAGAACCACAGGCAAAATGATAGTTCTGTATATTCTAATTTTTATGTTTTTGGACAGTAGACAAGATAACAAAGGGTTCTGGACTGAATGATAGCAAGAATTACCTTAGTTAAATCTCCTCTTAATTTCCTCCTGAATCAGGTTTTGATTTGTTATTGTCATTTCAAAATATCTGAACTGTGTCACATTTTCTAAACATCTGTTACTTATATTTATGTCAGGATTTTGCCCTGAATTTTGGTGACGATAGAGCAACATATACTTAGTTTTCTCTGTGTTTACTTCTAGACCAACATCCTTACTAGCATCAATTAAAGTTTGTGTGTTTTTCTTTATGTCATCTATATTATCCCCCCGTAGATTCACATCATTAGCACAGACCAACAGCTGACGTCCCATTTAATTTCAGTCCCTCCTGGTTTTCCTGGACCTTCCTAATGGCATATTCTAAAGCAAAATTGGAAAGCAGTGACAATAAAGGATCTCCTTGTTTTAGACCATTCTGAACAGGAAATTTATCAGACAAATGTTTACCTATACAGATTATACCACAGGTATCGTTTAAATATATTTCAACCAGTTTCATGGATACCCCAAAGTCTATCGGAATATTGTAAAATTCTACATTAATATAACTATTAATATTAAACACAAAATTATAATGTACATTACTAATAAACAATCTTAAACTTAGGAAAAACAATTCATTACCAGGGTTTTGTGTGCATTGTTAGATTACAATTTTACAAATGTGTATTCATTATAAAAAATTTTAAAATATGGATCCATATTAAAGTAACTCAATTCAAGAAATTTGTTTAAATATTCTTTAGACTCTCCTGATGGCAACCTATGAAAGTTTGAAACATATAGCGCAACACCTGTGCATAATAAACAAATGGTGATATATTAGTTTCTATTTTGTCTTCATTCTATAGTAATCATTGCCGGTGTAGATGGCCCCATTTATGTTATTACGATAGGGGAATGTTGTACTTTTGACAATCAGGTTTTCTGATGTGGCAAAATTTACTGCTCTAACTCCAGCATCATTATTAATTTTGTGTAAACGCTCATTCCCAGTTGTTGATATGAAATGCTCTTCTTATCTACTTTGGCACTGAAATCTTCTAACCAAATTTTCATATGATATTTAGGTAATTTATTGAATACATGTCCTAGTTCATCACAGAAGCTGTTCTTCACATCATCAATTTTATCATCTGTTGGGGCATGAATATTCAGAACAATGATATCACACCTGTATTATGTATGATATCCTATCACTAAAAACTCTACCCTCTTCACTGCTGATATGACTCTGTTATGTACAAAAAAATCTGTACCTAATTCATGATTCTCATTCCCCTTTCCATATAATAATTATATTTGCCTGTTGCTTATGCAGACATGTTATATATACAGTCTGTTGCTATATTGTACGTTATTACTTCATTTGATTTTATTTGTCGGGCGCCTCTGTTTATGTGCATATGTCCGATCTGGTGAGGAGATGGATTACAATTATGGATTAAATTATTTCACTATTTTGACTACATAATGATAAGCATTTCCAGGATTCATGTTTTTTTTTAATTTAAACATGAATCTCATTTACTTATGTTATTCCTTTCCTAGATATACAACTTTTGAAATACAAAGAATGATTTATTGTCTATAGTTAAATGTATTCCTTGACTATAAACTTGTGCTGCACTCTGTAATTATTTCTACCTGTATTTACTTCTACACCACTTCAAACATCTATTTTGAACAAAAGGCAGTCCACAAATATGTGCAGGTAAAATACATGTGAAGAAAAGAATTTACCACAGTGAGCTTATCATCCGGCTGTGAGGATCTCAAGGGTGCATTGGCACCAACACGGTTATCCCAAGAGCCATGAAGGTCATAACACATGGCATGCATGTAATCCAGGTACCGGCTAAGTGCTGGTATGTTGTATGCTGCATCAACTGTGTCCTGTCCCACACCGAGTGCTGCTGTCAGCAGCCAGCCGTGCTTGTCAAACTCCTCACGCAACTCCTGCAAACCATGTAATAATGCAGCAGTCTGTCCACAAGTTGTACACATATTGTAAAGTGGTGAATCTGTGAAGATGGCTGCATTTTTTACTTCAACATTCTCTTTACTTAAAAGAGATATTTCATTTCATGAAAATCCTATTAAATATCAAGAACTAAACCAAAAAGAGAAAAATGGCTTTCACACCAAATGCCATACTGATCAGTTCTGACATTCAAGCAATAGAGCATCTGCAGTGTTGGTATTAGTGATGAGGGGGATTTATTTAGTACACCACTGAGGTGGCCTCAGGTGGCATGATATACATATAAAAAAAGACAAAGCTATCCCTGTAACAGGGCATGGAGGCCCATGGGGTTGTGGGATGTTGAGGCTCCCACATTTTCTAGATAATTGGCTCACAGAGGGCAGTAAGGTTGCCAGCCTTACGTGCCAGCCACCCTTTAACCCCCAGGAGGATTCCTGGGACTCATTTCTGTTGGTAGCTGAGTTGAACCCAGGGCCATAGTGCGACTGGAAGGATTAGGTAAATTGAAAAGAATCCACCTCATTGGGACTCAAAACCGCGACCTTCCGGCTTGTAGCCTAGTGCATCAACCAACTACCCTACTATGTGTCCTGATATCCATATAAAATTTCATTACACTTGGTTCAGGCGTTCAAGTAATATTATGGTCAATACTACAACAATTTGAGAAACTTCACTGTTGGTATACTAATGGAAGAGAATATTATATTTAAGCATCCTGTTGCACTCTATACGATATATGACATAAACACCGTCCCAAGTGCAACAATTTATTGTAGTTCTTTTGTCTTGCTCTCTTCTACACTACACGTTTTGGCCGCAAACGGCCATCATCAGGTGTATGCACTTACATAGCTGTTACACTGCATCTAGTTTAAAATTTAAAACCACAAGTCTTCACAATTGTTCTTTTCGTCATTACCGACAGGTTTCGATTTATCAGAATCTACTTTGCGAAGTGCATACACCTGATGATGGCCGTTTGCGGCCGCAACATGTAGTGTAGAAGAGGGCAAGACAAAAGAACTACAATAAATGGTTGCACTTGGGACAGTGTTTATGTCATATATAATGGAAGGAATTTAAAATATGTACTGTTGAGAGGACCTCGGGTGTCATCACATATGTGCCAAATTTCATGAAGATCAGTATAGTCATTCAGGAATTGTAGGGTGAAGTAGGACACACACACAAACACATACTACTCTGTCCAAAAAGTATCCGGCCTTGGGCCAGGAAAACAAAGTTCTGTATCTGGGTGGTTACAATACCTAATCCCCTTCAAAGTAGGCCCCTTGTGATGATATGCATTTAGCTCAGTGATCCTTCCATCGTTGGAAGCAATTCTGGAAGGCTCCTTTTGGATTGGAGTGCAGCTGCGCTGCTGCATTCTGTATGATGTCCTCGCGGCTGTCAAAATGAGAGCCTTTTAGCGGTGTCTTCAAACTCGGGAACACCCAGAAACCACAAGGAGACATGTCAGGAGAGTAGGGAGCCTGGCGAACCTGGAGAATGCCGTGCTTGGCCTGGAAACCCTGGATCAGGTGTGACAAATGAGCTGGGGTATTGTCATAATGCAGCTGCCTGTTGCGTGCATCCCACAGCTCTGGTCCCTTGCGCCGAACTACATCACGAAGATGGCGGAGGGCTTCTTGGTAGTACTCCTTATTGACAGTTTGGCCTAGTGGTGCATTCTCATGATGCACAACACCGCCGAACTGCATCACGAAGATGGCGGAGGGCTCCTTGGTAGTACTCCTTATTGACAGTTTGGCCTAGTGGTGCATTCTCATGATGCACAACACCCCGATAATAAAAAGAAACAGTCAGTATTGCTCCAAGCCTGTCATGTTTTTTGGGCCTTGAGGATGTTGGATGCTTCCATTCTGATGCCTGGACCTTGGTTTCCGGGTCATATCCATACACCCACGACTGATCACCAGTGATCACAGTCTGCAGGAACTCACGATCCCTCTTGGCACACTCCAGCAAGTCCTGCTTGACCTCAAGGCAGAGTTGTTGCTGCTCTGGCGAAAGCAGCTTGGGCACAAATTTTGCCGCCACTCTTTGCATGCCCAAATCCTCAGTTCAAATTGTGTTTGTGGAGCCTCTGCTGATCCCAAACTCATCAGCAACGTCCAGGATGGTCAAACGACGGTCCTCCATGATCAGTGTCTGCACTTTTTCAATGACATCAGCATTTTGGCTCACTGATGGTCTCCTGGAACGCTAGTCACTGTCTGCCGACATATGACCATCTTTAAAGCAGTTGAACCACTCTTTTTCACTTAGTGGGTGGGTGGAGTCCACTCGGCACGGCAGCCACTGATTGGCCTATTGTAGCCTGCCCCGGGTGATTATGATAATGGAGAATTTGGTGGAATGAAGATTGGCAGGGGAACCCGAAGTACTCAGAGTAAACCTGCCCCAGCACCACTTTGTCCACCACAAATCTCATTTGACCAGACCTGAGATTGAAACCAGGCTGCCGCGGTGAGAAGCCAGCGACAAACTGCTTGAGCTATGGTGCGGCCTTGAACCACTCTTTAATTTGAGTGACTCCTATTGCATCATCGCCAAAAACCTGCTGAAATGTTGCGCATTTTTTCCACTTGGGTATCTCCAAGTTTCTGACAAAACTTGATGCAGTATCGATCCCCCAAGCATTCTGTCATCTTGCGCGAAACAAGAATGTGACGAACATGTGTTACACCATTTCGCTATCAGGCAGCCACAGATGCATCCAGCCGTGTTGCAAGGCAGCAAAAAATCATGCATGCGCATGAAAGTCTCTTCTACCACTATGCTCAGTTTCCCCACCTCTTTGGCCATTACTTAACAGAGCAAAAAATAGAGCCAGTTACATTTTGGACAGCGGTGTATATATATCTATATAAATAAAAATTTAAATGTTCGTTTGTTCAAAATCTTAAATCCCCGAAAGTTCTTCACCGATTGCTTTGAAATTTTGACACAACGTTGCATTCAAATACGTGCGTTTCAACGCCTGATATTACACTGTAGTCCCTTTCATAGAATCTCTTATATGCTTCTGTTTCACACGCACCCTCACAAGGTGTACAAAGTTCTCCTTGTCTGCTGGGGATCCACCCCTCTTTGCTGGATACTCCCAGTCTAAGTCCAAGCCATCAAAATTATACTTTCTGAAACATTCAACATAAAAAATGTAAAACATAACTGTACTATCATGCTGATAATATCTAGAGACAAAATGAGTGAATAGTTGTACTTCAGTGGCATACATTTTTTTTTGCCAATTATAAATTGAAGGATCATATGCCATGGATTTAATAAGGATGTTAAAAACTATTAAATCAAAGGAAACAAGCCAAATTACTACAACAACAACAACAACAAAAGAAATATGGATAATCTGAACAAGGTAAGATGTGAAGCTGATAGATGTTTCAGGGAAAAAAAGAGGGGATATCTAAAAGACAAAATTAATGAGCTTGTAACATGCAATAAGAATAAGAAAATCAAAGACTTATATAGAGAAATTAATGAGTTTAAGATTTCCCAAGCTAGAATTAACTTAATAAATGATGAAAATGGTGATGTGCTTGAAGATTCTCACAATATTTTGAATAGGTGGAAGAATTACTTCACTCAGTTATTGAATGTACATAGGGTTAGTGATGTTAGGCAGATAGAAATGCACACAGCTGAGCCGTTAGTACCTGATCCTAGGCCTTTTGAGGTTGAAATTGCTATTTCAAGTTGAAAAGGCATAAATCGCCACATATTGACCAAACTGTGGCAGAATTGATTCACGCGGAGTGTGAAAAATTATATATATATATATATATATACACTCCACCCCCCAATATCCTTCTCTCAAGGTTAAGTTCATATGCAGCAAAGGGACTCATACGAGGACCCTCTGCTAAAAGGGCGAAGGAACAGTTGAAGTTAAACAGAAACCAGCTACGATGGGTGGTGGGACTACTTACAGGACACTGTCACCTTAAAGGACACCTCTTCAAACTGGGACTAAGTGACTGTCCCACTTGTGAGAGGTGTCAAGAAGAAAATGAAACAGCCACACATATCCTGTGTGAATGTGAGGCATTAGCTTACTTAAAATTACGTCACTTGGGTAAATACTTTATGGAAGCAAGTGACTATTTTGACATCCCATGTAAAAATCCTGAGCTTCATTTGAAGCACAGGATTGCTGAGGGGATAATCAAAAGGGGAAGCACAATAGACCACTGTAGGTCACAGTGCAAGGGCTGAGAAGGCCCACCCCATATACATTCATTCATTCATTCATTCATTCATTCATAAGTTCATATGGAGACTAAATTATAGGGGATCATCAATGTGGGTTCTGATGTCATGGAGCAACTACTGATCAGAATTTTGCAATCATCAGACACTGAAAAAAATAACAGACAGTACAACTGTTCTTCATAGGTGCCAAGAAAGCCTATGTTTCAGTTAGGAGGGCAGTATTGCACAATATTTTATGACAGCTAATGGTAAATACAATTGTAGCACAGTGGGAAGATGAGAAATGCACATAAAATTTTGGTGGGAAAGCCAGAAGAGACCATTATGAAGACCTAGAAGTAGGTGAGAAGTAAATATTCAGACAGATCTCAGAGATATAGGATGGGGTGGTGTGTATTGGATTAATCTGGCTCAGAATAGGGACCAGTGGAATGCTCTTACGAACACAGTAATGAAATATTTGCTTCCCTAAAATGCTGGGAATTTCTTGAGTGCTGAATGACTGGTGGCTTCTCAAGGACTGAGGCCCATGGGGTTAGTGTTCTTTCCTGTTTTGCTCACATCATTGACTTTAGAGTGGATTTATTGCAGACATAAGTTTATTGCTATTAAATTAACTGTGCTACAGATAGCTTCTTAGTCTCAAAATATTCCTGCCCTGCATGTGATGAATATTTACCACATCAACAAATTGTCTCAGATATTTCAGATCTTAATGAGACTGCATTTTATACAGATTTCTTTGTATACTGTACAGTACAATGTACCAGTTTTGAGAAATTTGATGAGTCATGAAAATTATAAAACTGATGGAGTAAATTGAAGGAACGTGCAACCAAACAGGGCGATGCAAACTCCCCATTATGCATTCTTTTAATGCATGTTGACAAATAATGCATAAAAGCAAAACTTCATCTGCATGACTTACACATACAGAGAGGGGCTCCACAAATGTGAGGTGTCAAAAAATGTGATGGACACAAAAAGATATATGCAAAACATTCCACCACCATTTCCTCTGACTCTCCTGCCATTCAATAAGACGGTTCTGGCATTCATGCATTCATGTGACTAGCACCATCTTTTCAGAGAATATTACACTACATACCGTACATTACATTTCAGTTCAACTTTGTTAATGTGTCCCTAAATAACCTTTATTAAAATGTGTACACATTTTTTGGTTCCCTCTGTATTTTTCACATAAGACAAAATTTACATATTATTCAAAGAAATACCACAATAAAATATGGAAGTCAGTGAATAATATCAGTACTTCTTTGTCTCAAAAGTTGCCATATTTATCATGTTGATATTGTGGAAAATGGTTAATTTAAAAAACAACTGTCATTTAAAAACCCACAAACACATTTGTCTTATTTTTTTCAGAAATGACCATAAAACTGATTTTATAGAAATGGAATGGGTGAGCTCAAGGTAGGGTTCAATAGTGGGTGTTTATGATAGTAACAGGTAACTTTTTGGTTCCATTGTACTATAAAACATTTGGAAGAGCAATGCAATTAGACAGTGCAATGATTAATATAAAGATATTAAATAGTTCTGACAGTGTTGGTTAAATATTTACACTTTCACTGCATATTTTCCTATACTTTTCCTAAAATAATGAAATTTTAAGGTACAACTATGAAAAAATGCAACAAAAATGCATTTTCACAGATAAGTGGACGAAGACAAATGATGCGAAGATAAGATTACTTGTTGATGTGGACTGAAGTCCAATGTTGCACTATATAGTAATGGATGCTTGTTAGACTTTAGTCAAATATCATAATAATATAATTAAATCTGAGCTATATGGAGCAGCAGAAGCTTTCCAAAGAAGAAATAAAAGGTGTGGATATTAATGTCAATAAAGTGTCATGTTCCAATATTTTGTATGAGGAACTGAATTTGAGAAACTTGATAAAAAGAGAGTGGTATCTTCTGGGATGAAATGCTGTATAGTAAGATAGATGTTCAAGAATGTTTGGAGGAGCATATTGCCTCCACCTTCAGGGTTTTAAGAGTAGCCAGGAAGAAGCAGGTAACAAGCAAAGCTTTGTATGATTTTATGTTCTCACGTAAGCCAAGCATGAAACCAGCATGAAACAGGCAGCAATCACAATTCTTACTGTCTGTTTCATGCTGGTATCTTGCTTGGTATAGTCTTCAGCCCTGAAGATGGAGGCAAACTGTTCCTTGAAAATGTTCGTAGTCTTTCACTGGAGTACACAGTACTATACCCCATATGACAGAACTCTTAAAGCACAGTGTTGTTTTTCCACATCTAATACAAATTAATTCCATGGAGTAAAGTTCTTCTCGAGAAACTGATGGTCAGTCCATTGATTAAGGAAAAAACGCCCCTGACCTTCTACAGTTTCCATGCCAGATGAAGCTAGTCTATGTTCTCACACTTTGTTCATTTAAGATCTGTTCTAATGTTACCATCCAACCTGTGCAGTTATCCCACAAAGCCCCTATATTAGATCTGAATTTTCCTTAGCAATTTATATTAAAATTATAATCAGTTTTTCTTGTGGCATTTCTTTAAATCTAAGGAATCTTTATCAGTTCTGAAAATTGAATAAACAGAAATTTATATTAAATTAGGGTGGAATTTTTAGTTCCACAGAACACTTTTATCACAGTTTGGTGTGGTATTAACCTATTCCTGTTACTTATATTATTTTAATGCATACTGAGAATCAGGCATTTCCACGTCCATCTGCCCTGCATGTTTCATTTAAAAATTTGGAAAATTAATTTTGATAATATTTGGTATTTGATGGGAAGGGGATTAATACATTAGCAGTTGTCATGTAATTTATTTCAATTTGTATCAGTGTGACCACACACTTACTTTACATGAACTACAAATCAAACTTTATCAATTTTTTAAAACTAGCTGTTTATAAGAGACTGGTATATGAAATATAATACACCACTGAGGTCATGAATAATTGCATATTTTATTTGAAAACTAAAATTTAATCACATAAAATATACTCATGATTAATGGTGGGAGGATGCATGAACAATCCTAAAACATCGGTAATCCAAGTTTTGGGCGTGAACAAAGGACAATGGTGAAAGTTGAATATAGAACTTTGTAAATGTACACACAGCATGTGATTTTTTAGAATTATCCCCAAACTGTAAGCTTTACAGAAAATATGTAGTAAACATAAGCTTTGGATTCATTTTCCTCAACAACTTTGTTCAAAACATTTTTCATTCTGATAAATATTTAACAGTTATGCTCGAGTGCTTGAGTTGTACAAATAGATGGATAGAAGCACTTTACAGGTGCTCTGAAGGGTTGCAAACACTCCTGATAGGCCATAAGCCAGAACCTGTGCATGGATTTCAGTAACATATTGTAAAATATGTGTTCTTAAAACTTAGTGATACCATGACAATCTACATACATTTATGTGACCTCCTCCTCCCTTATCTCTGCCAGTCAGCAAGAATATAGTTCTGCACATTGCTGCTGATCCATATCAGGCTGTATGCTAACAGATGGAACCTAAACAGCTTTACAACCTCTTTACACCTACTGGAGTTATAAAATGTTCCTCTAGAGTTATGAGAAAATTTGCATAATGTTTTGCCAACTGCAGATATATTTTTCCAAAAGCACCTATATTAAAACTTACTGACTTGGCAAATTGAGCATGTGTACAGAATATTTTAAATGATGCTTGAGAATTCAGTGACCCTTCTCCACATTCAGGGGGTCATGACTCAATTTTAGAAAACATACTGTACAAGGAAAATGATTATCTGACTCTGTGTAGTGTGATGTTTTTACTTCATTCATCTTTGCTAACGGTCCCTTAATTCAGGAGTGGTTGGAGCACTAACCACCAGTATAAGAGAGTAACTACCTGATGAAGTCAGATGCGCTGTTAATGAAAGTCTGTCTGCTGGTAGGATTTGATGCCATGATGGAATAGTTTGCTGAACCCTCATTCCAGCCACCTATAGCTAGTGATACTTTGAGATGTGGGTAACGGTTCTTCAGGGCTGTCATCTTCTTGTATGTGCCTATGAAATAAATACATGCATTCTGCACTTTCATTCTATCACAGGATACACACTAGATGTTATAACAGTAAAGGACACATAATGGGATGAATAAAACAAATCTTTAACCCAGCGTCCTGATGGAAATACACCAGCGCTTGTGCGCTCAATTAGAATTAAAAAGAAAAACAGCAAATAGAGGCTGCATCCACTTGGTACATCAGCTACTAACTGGCCCATTGTACCAGCTCTGAATGACAGATGACGTGTGTGGTGCAGTTTGTGGAATGAGAATTGCCAGGGGAAAACAAAGTACTCGGTGAAAACCTACCACACTGCCACTCTGTCCATCACAAATCTCACATGACCTGACCTGCCCTCAAACTCAGGCTGCCACGGTGAGAAGCAGGTGACCTGAGCTATGGCATGGCCAACAGCAAATAGAGACAAGGTTAATGAAAAAATTAAGATAAAAATACATTCTAGAAATACATGTTGTCAGTTCTGAAACTCCCCCCATCATACCTATATCCCATACCACTTGCTACACGTATCCTCTGTATTTCTAAAACGGGTTATGTTGGCAGCCCCTGAGGAAGGGATGATGGGAATGAGGTGGTTACAAGTGGGAGAGGAAACTTGGAAACTTGCGGAGTCATATTTCTTTTTTTTAATTGTATAAAAAATGTAAATACAAAAGAGGCCTAGGCACTCTGGCCTTCTGTAGCACATTCTAATAAACATCTTATTATATAACAGTGGTAGCCTCGCGATTGTTAATATAGATCTTGACTTAAATCTGTGTGTATACTGTAAATAATCAGTACAATTACTTCTTTTACTTTGCTTACATATCTATTTTATATAAATATAGGAATGTTGTTTAAGAAGTAACACGCCTTGCAGAAATCTTTTTTCTTCTAGCCTTAAGAGCTCTGTAACTGATTTTGGGTAATGCTTTTTGCTGTTCTCAGACAAGATGTCCATCATTGTTGCTCTTTGGTCCTCGTACAGTTTACACTCCCAGAAGATATGTTTCTCAGTTTTCAGCCCATCAACACATTCGCATTCGGCCGTGGACACAATGTAAAATCTGTTTAGGCTTAATTTAAGACTTTTGTGAGCCGCTGTCATACGGTTTATTGACAGGGAGCTGCAGCAGTTTCTTTCTTATCTGCGCCTATGAACTACTACCATCTCTACTTCTCCACGGTAACTAGATAGTCTGATTCCGATCACAGGGCCCTCTCAGCAACCTATCGAATAGTATTTGTCTGCACCAGTTACAGAGTCACCCCTGCAATCTATCGAATCGCGTAAGTCTGAACCAATCACAGAGCCCCAATTAGATCGTATCTGATTTTATATTTCGATAATGGCGGTGTTATCCAGTATGTGTCAATTTTCTCATAATTACGGTGGCGTGTTTTCCCTTTAATTGATAAGTATTGATATCGATTTGATGTCATTGTGAAATAGGAGTCGACTTGTACGCACGAAATTAAATCCCCATGTTATTTCTGTATACGAGTATGAATGGTATGTTTATTACGCCGAATTAGAAACATATATCACGTCAAAAGTCTTTACACGATATTTCATAAATTTCTGTTATGACATGTTAAGAATCTTTCAGTTTAGCCCAAAGAAGGTGTAGAATCTCAAGAAACTCGTTAAGTGTACAGTGATTGTGTTATAATGTCTGTATTGTTTCTTGTAGTATAAATGGAAAGAAAGAAAGAAAATATGCTCTGCCGCTGGGTGCGTGTCATCCAGTGGGCAAACAGAAAGGAAATTCTTCCACTTTCCCTGGGATTAAGCACGGTATGTCTGTTTTAATTCATGACGTAATGGCTTTATTATGTGTTGCTTAATCCAATGAAGAAATGAAGTTTAGCCAGTGTCAACATTAAATGTGTTAAACGTAACCCCACAATGTAGAACATGCTCCATGTTTGTAATGTTTACTAATAAATTATTTCTAGGTTTGAAGACAGTTTGTTGTTCTCTTACATGGCTGTGGTATGGGTAGGAAAAAGTGGCTAATGAGAATAATGAGGGCTAGTTTTCAAAGTTATTTTCCCCAGAACCCAGTCATGATCAAATAAATATTGTCATCATCATTCATTACTTATTAAACTGTATATCAATATACAAGTTACATAGAATATGTCACAAATACTAATGTTTTTAGGGCAATTAAAAATGTCTGAAAAGCAGAACACACTCTCAGTATTGTGATTTATGGGAGAACGAGTTGGCAGTGTCTTTGCTCTGAGGAATAGAATAATCAGATGTGCAAATCGTTTTTTTTTTCATGGCAGTCCCTTGTACTGTACAGTGTGTTATTTTTCAACCTGAAGAAATATGGTAGTCCATCACATAAGGAAGTCCACTAATTTTCTTTTTAATGTTCTTTCAGGAGGGTGCTGCAGTGAATACTTGGCAACAGCTGCATTTCTTGAGGAGGTTGACAACCTTTCTGATAGTTTCAATGGTGAAATGAGTGTTGACCCAGGGAAAACACTGCGTTGCCCACTCAGCGATTACAGTCCCCATATAGATCATTGGAAAAAGGCAAATATGGGGATAAATAGTTGGATCTTCCTCAGTGATGGTAAACTCACATTTCTTCATCCTCCTCCTTCACAGAATTGATGGCTAGTTAACATTATTGCTGCCCAACATGTTTGGAAGACAGTGAAAAAGGTGGGTTTTAAGTACTTTAAAATCTGAAACTTGAAACAGGGTCCCCTTGAGAACACATTTGGGGCTATTCATTTGTATTGTGGTTCTAATGATAACCCAACTGTGGAACAATTTGTAGATGCCCTGAAGACTAGCATCATCAATGAACTTGCTTTTAGAGGTCTGTATGGAAGTAATTATGAGGATGGTTCTACTCTTCTGGATAACCTACAATCATTTCTCAAGGCACCTGACGCCTGGTTACAGTAGTCGTGGTGCAGTGGAGTACGCAACAGCATGCGTTTATTGCTTAAACATTTTTTAAAAATGGTGACTCTTGTTAAAATGCAGCAAATATTTCCCAAGCACTTCAATATTGCTCATCACGGTAAAGTTCCTTGCCGCAATACCATACAGTTATGGGCAGAAAACTTTTTTAACAAGTACTTCTGCATTAAAAGGAAACAACAAGGCAGTGTGCGTACAGTGTGATTGGCACAGATCACTGAGGTTGTGAGGTGATTATTCATAAGGAGTCCTAGGCTTTCAGCTAGGAAACATTCTGTTGCTCTAGCAATATTGGATCGCAGCATGGGGAGAATTTTACAAAAGAATTTAAATTTTCATCTGTACAAAGTACTGGTGTTGCAAGAGTTAAGTGATCATGACATGGCAAACTGTAGCACAGTAGCTGAGCGTTTAATCAGAATTTTGTCCAACAGTGTCATTGTCTTTATGGCAGATGAAGCACACTTCCACTTATCTGGCTGTGTCAACAAACGGAATTTTTGCTGTTGGACAGAGGAAAGTCCACAGCAGCTCCATCAACGGCCTCTTTACAGTGGACATGTGACTGTTTGGTGTGGAGTAGCAAACTTCAAAGCCATATGTCCTTATTTCTTTGCAGACGAAGATGGGTGTGCATTTATGGTCATATCTGCTTGTTATATTTTAATGTTACACAACTTCCTCACATCAGAAGCGATTCATTGTGAAACTGAGCCCTTAACCATGTGGTTCCAACAAGATGGTGCAACTGCCCATACAGCAAGAGCAAACATGGAGGTCATTCAGGAAATATTTATTTTATTGCAAGATGAGCTTCCATAGCCTGCACGTTTGCCTGCTGTCTCTGCCCGTGTGATTATTTATGTTGTGGGTACCCCAAAGCAAAAGTCTACACCACTAGACCACAAGATTGCAATTCGGAAGCACGGAGAGGTGAGCACTCAGAAATCTGCGAGCAAGATTGGAAGAGTATGTATGTAATGATGGCAGCATCTTAGTGATGAACTGTTCAAAACAAAATAAACAGAGATATAATGAAATGTTTGTGGAATAAAATGGCATTTAGTGTTCTTTAATTTTGTAACAATAAATTAAGAATTAAAGTAAAGTATCATTGCTTTATATACTTTTAAAAATCATCAGGTTCCTTTGAGAGCTGAGAAAAATATCAGAACCTAAAATAGATAAAGAGTGTGAGCAGTTTAGGATATTATATTGTAACGTGTCTGGAATCCAGAGGAGTCACTTCTATGGAAACGCTAGAACAGACCGTTGCATAAGAAGTAACAATAGCGATACTGTAATTCCAACAGTGAGCCGTTGTATCGAGAACATCGAATCTCCACGGTTACGACAAACAAGCGTAGCGTTCCCACAGAGACAACGCGATAACAATGGGTTATTGCGTAGGAAACGCGGAGCCAACAAAGCACGTTTCCACTGCTATAACAGAGGGTTCGTTGCCTAACAGCGGCGAGGTTATAAATAGCCCAGCTTCAGCGAAAAACAGTCAGTCTTCATCGGGCCAGCTAAGAGGCCAGCCGTGATCAAGCCTCCGGAGAAGAAAGTCCAGTGTCTCGCCAAATATTGTAAGCAGTGATTGTAACACTGCAAGAGTAAATGATTGTAAAGTGGTTGTAAAGTGCGAGCGAAAGTAATAAACTCGCTATATCAGAGAACGGCGTGAACTTATTTGTAGCGTGACACACAAACACGCTACAATATAATGAAAAACTTGTGATTCATACAGGTCACCTGGTATTGCTTGTATAGTGAGACCTAGGAGGCCACATTTGGTTGGACAGATAAAGAATTGGTACAGAATCTTGGGGGGAGGGGGGCAGCTCTTGGAAGCGGTCATATGGAATTTTGAGAAGTCAGTGTGAGGATAACATTAATATGGATCATGAGGACACGTGCTGTAAGGATGAGAACTGGATGGAAATAGCTCAGGATCACTTCCAACATGCAAGCTGTTTGTATGAGAGTTGTAGAGGTTTGATGTTTTAATACAAAAGCTATTTTAGTGTTCATTTTGAACATGTCTGGTAAAATCTAAAGGGTTCTGAAAATGGTATAATACTAAAACTGTTTATGTACTGCACAGTCCTTCAACAATACAACAGATTGTTCCTTCTTTCTTTCACTTTCACTTTAAACACAACATGTTTTGGCCCTAAACGGCCATCTTCAAGTGCTTTACTATGCTAAAATTGCTACACTGCACTAATATTATCCATTCATTACATATGCAACTGCATGCTTCCTGATTCAAACCGTCATAGTTGTGGTCTAACTGGTATGCGCTAAAACAACACACACTGTAGTTCACTTAATTTAAGTCAATAAAATCTATTAAAATTTGTTTTCCTTTAAATTCTTTTTACACCCCCACAAGGGGTGTCATCCAATCGTTTAGATCTGTTTCCTTTTCTTCGGATATCTTATTGCAGCAGCCTGCTTTTCTGTTTGTAAGCCCGTTGTTGTGTTATGTCTGCAATCTGTAATTTGCCTCTTGCTTTTGTGTTGTTCCCTCTAGCAGTGTGTTGTGTTGTCTTCTGTTGTCCTTACAAATGGAAAAACAGGCAGCTGCAATAAAACTTCCGAAGAAAAGGAAACATATCTAAACAAGTGGACGACACCCCTTGTGAGGTGTAATAAGAATTTAGAGGAAAACAGATTTTAATAGATTTTATTGACTTAAATTAAGTGAACTACAGTGTGTGTTGTTTTAGCGCATACACAGTTAGACCACAACTATGATGGTTTGAATCAGGAAGCATGCAGTTGCATATGTAATAAATGGATAATATTAGTGCAGTGTAGCAGTTTTAGCACCTGAAGATGGCCATTTAGGGCCAAAACATGTTGTGTCAAAAGTGAAAATGAAAGAAGGAACAATTTGTTGTATTGTTGATGGACTGTGTAGTACATAAACAGTTTTAGATATAGTAATGCAACAGGATGCTTAAATACAGGATGGTATATTACACTGTGATTACTGAGTTTCTGGGCTTTGTCCATTGTTCAATATTAAAAAAAAAACAGTTTCAGAAACTAGATTTATTTCTGTCCTCGGGTGGAAATGTGGGGAGGCACTTACACGGTTAAGTCCATTAGGAGAAATAATCTTAATCACTGGGCTACAAGATTAGTTTTTCCTAATGGATTCAACTGTATAGGTGCCACCACTCCATTTTACCTGAAGACAGAGAAAGACATAGCTTCTGGAACATTTTCCTTCATAATACTAGACGATGGGCAGAAAATAGAAACTCAGTAATGCCAAATGTCTGTCCTTACAATTGTTGTCATTTGAATCACTTTTCACAGCTTACCTTTGCCATAGTTGTCCTCGAGGTCATGATATTCATCAAGGCTCCGGATGGTGTTGGTCCTGTTGTCAAGTCCTGCAAAGGCATATACCAGGTGAGTGCAGAGGGTTGGGTCGAGGTCGTCTAGAGACCATGAACCTCTACCAGCTCTGTACACGGCCCATGTGCTAACATAACAGACCACTAGCCGACCATGCACAGTGGCACCTCCTACTCCTGCAACAATCACGAAGTTTGTCACATTCCTCTTTTGCATTGGTAGAAATAATGATTGATTCTCTGTCAAGATATTACAGTATTAAAAGAAAAAATCTTAATGTGATGCTTTTCAGGCCATTGACAGCTTGTCAGTATAGTAATATGGGCAAAGTCCACTGGGGATTGGATTGGCTTTTCAGAATTTGGTAGGGGCTCTGGAGCAGGATTAGGTAGATGCTCTGGAACAGAACTTGGTAGAAGGCCTGGAGCAAAACTTGATATAAGGTCTAGAGCAGAACCAGATAGAAGCTCTGCAGCAAAACTAGGCAGAAGTTCCAGAATAGAACCAGGTGGATACTCCAGGATATAACTAGGCAGATGCTCCAGAATAGAACTAGGTAGAAGATCTGAAGCAGAACTAGGCAGAAGTTCGGAATAGAATTGGGTAGACGATCCAGGGCAGAACTAGGCAGATGCTCCAGAATAAAACTAGGTAGAAGCTCTGAAGCAGAACTAGGCAGAAGCTTCAGAGCAGAACGAGATAAATGCTTCAAAGCAGAACTAGGCAGAAGTTCCAGAATAGAATTAGGTAGACGATCCAGGGCAGAACTAGGCAGATGCTCCTGAATAAAACTAGGTAGAAGCTCTGAAGCAGAACTAGGCAGAAGCTCTGGAGCAGAACTTTGTAGGAGCTCCAGGGGAGAATGAGATAAATGCACCAAAGCAGAACTAGGCAGAAATTCCAGAATAGAATTGGGTAGATGCTCCAGGGCAGAACTAGGCAGACACTTCAGAATCAAACTAGGTAGACATGCCAGAGAAGTAAGTGGATGCTCTAGACCAGTGGAGAAGACAAAGAGGAATGATAACAAATATTAAAAGGAAATTACTACAATGTAGGCACAAGAATTTGTTCCTGTGTGTATTGTTGAGTGATAGTTACAATATCTTAGGACACTGGATTCAGCTTCATTAAAATGAAGCAGTATGGGATAAATTGCATGGCTTCCATCCATGCCTATTTTCAGTTACCCTGGACTCCACATATCTGACTTTAACAAAGTAGCCCGTGATGGCGTAACCTGAAGTTTTCAATACCTGACGCCTGTCACTGTGCACAATCCTGGATTAGTTCTGTTCATCTCCAACCTCATAGTGCAGCTTTCTAAAATGCATTCCAGGGTTATTCTCCATCTTCTAAATATTCCAAGTAGCTATTTTTCAACCAGAATTCTGTAAGCATTTGTATTATATTTATGGTTTGTTTAATGATGCTATCATTTACTTAGCTATGTAGTGTGAATGTTAAGACGAATGTTGGATTGGGAAAGATGTTGAAGGAAGCAGTCATAGTGTGTCTCAAGGTATTAACCCAGCTATCACTTGGAGGCACTGAGAAAACCACAAAATCCTTCAGAATAAGCCGTGCATCAGCCGAGATTCGAACCAGGCACTCCCTGTATACAGGTCAGAAGCATTCCAGCTTAAAGCCAACTTGTTCGGTATCTACATGCATATGTCACTCCCATCCATATGTCCGGGCCGCCATAAAGTGCTTGATCTTGATGTTTTAACAAGTCTTTGTGACAGGTACCATTACCAAGCTCATCCAGATGCAATATCCTAAAATTCCCACTGGAGTTATCCTTCTTAGGTTGACTTATCTGCCTGACTGCTTTGTTTACAAAACATTTATGTCATTTCAGACTCTGAAACAGTCATAGAATACAAATGCCAACAGTATTTTATTCAAAGAACCAAATCGCACTGACTCTTGGTGGCTTATTAGCTGCCACCACCCCAGAAACGGAATTTTTGCTCACAGTCAAGAAATCCAATTTGGCCATTCAAGAAGGGCACGCTGTATTTGTAAAGAATGCATGAAATGTATGCCTAATGGGAAGGTTGCATCTGTACGTTTCATCCTTGAAACAACTTAATGGAAGGTGCCGGGATCATTCAGTTGGTATAGCGATGGGCTACAGGCTGGATGGTGTGGGTTCAGTTTCTGGCAAGTTTAATGGACTTTCCTCCACAGCGTCCTGACCGGATCTGGAACCCACACAGAGTCCTATCCACTGGATACCTTAAGCTTTTCAGCCGGGGTTAAAGCAACAGGGGCTTGAAGCTGGCCACTCAACTCCATCTAGTGCTGAGATCAAGAATGGTGGAGCTATACCTCAACTCCATCACACGTCTTCATGGCTTGGTACCTTCTCCATTCCAGGGATTTTGAAGCAATTTGGCGGACCGTACTCTAAAAGTTGTCAGGTTAATTCAATTTTGATTTGCATTGATCCAATGCAACTGTTACTTTACATCAGTGAAACATGCATCAATCATTTATCATTCTGCCCCCCACCTAGACTTGTTTTACAAATGACTGGTACCTGGAATAACATCAGGGCTAGAAATAGGTCTACTTGGGGGTAGACGTCATCTACTTAGTTCCATGGTGCTATTTTTTTAACGAAGCTATTTATGATGATTTACGATGTCACGAGTGTCATTCCCAGTAATGATACATGTAAGAGCGATTTCCTGAACCTGCACTGTAATAATTTCTTGTGTGTCTCTCAGTCATCAGACACTTCTAGTGGTTTGAGCATCCATCTACTTCTGAAGAGCCATTGCCATCCATGCATAAGATATAGAAATCTTACTGAGACCTGCAACTTTTATGTGAATACAATTATTATGGCGAATATTTAATGAAATACAAGGAAAATAATTTTCGTCTTTGAGCAGTGTTACATTTCTTTGAAGACAAAGATTTGTTATCTGCAATATAAATGCACATCAAGAGCAACGATAATGTATTTATTCGAACTTGCGGAGTACTTATTTCCACGCTTGCTGAACGTTAGGTCTAAAGGCCCACGTAACTTGAAAAGGACACCCAACGCTCTGCATATAAGGCATCTCTACTTTCTATTCTTCCCACTCCACCCCCTTTCCAATTGATTGATATTCAGTAGGTGTTTATTCTGCATAACGGGATATAGGTATACTCTATTAGGAACCTTAGGAGGGAGTGAAGACGTATTTACTCGCGGTAGGGCTACAACTCAGCCGGAGTGGACTGCAATGCCACACGACTCTTTCATTCTCACTTTCATCTGTCGATCTGTCAGTAGCGTTCTGTCATGTCAAAGCGACCGGGTGATAACAAATCTAGGCAGTCGTACTGCCAAGAGTGACGAGTTCTGGCATTCTTTACTCTAAAATCACACATAATTTCTGAGGAAATGCCTTTCTCGTTACGAACTACAAAACTAGTATGACATCCTTTTGTTTGATGAATATTTCATTAAACAAGGACAGTATTAAATTACAATAGATTTATATGCTGCGACATGTAGTGACTATGCAGTCAAGTATTCACGTAAGCAACCTTACAATTCATAACCATTTGAATGCACCATCAGCACCCTGTTGTCTCTGGCTTCCTGGTATACCAGATTATCGATGCCTTCATCAGTTTTATTTAGTCGTTTACTTAACGACGCTGGCAGTAGTTCAGACTGCATAACGTTTAATGTTTGGACGATTTAACTCCGTGGCCTGTAGTCCGCAAGCAAACTACCGACCAGCGATCCCCGCTTGTCGGCGAACTTAGTGCCAACTTTTGCGGATCGCTATCCGCACCAAGTTCGCCGACAAGCGGGGATGGTCACATGGTCAGTGCAACGGATCCCCACGGCCGTTAATCTCGGATTTCTAGATAAATTTGAAAGGGATGTGGAGAAATGGACTATGGCCTATTTCAGGGGTTTATCCCGGCATTCACCTCTAAGGAACTTGAACGTCTAAGATTGAATTATGGTCAAGTAATATTTGTACTGCAATTGTAAATGTGTAAGATTTGAGGCTTTCGCGGCGGTGACTATGAAGAAAGCAGTCTTCTGGGATTTGGCACCGTGTATATGTGGTGTTAACCGACGTTTCGGAGGAACGTATCGCATCCATCTTCAGGGTAGAAGAAAAAATATAAGAAATCTGAAAGCGAAGAGACCGTGAGAACCGGTACCACATATACACGGTGCCAAATCCCAGAAGACTGCTTTCTTCAATTGTAAATGTGTTACATATTGTGATGTGTGTACCCATTGCTAGGCAACGACTTGGTAAACACATTCCTACGAAGCGTGCGCATGCAACAGAAGGACGTCCATTGTTTGGTAACTGATCAGTAAACACGCCTCCTTAACAATAAAGGTTGTTTTCTGTGTGGTCCGTGCCTAGTGGTTATAAAAGGGCACATTAAAAAGACGGAACGAAAAATGGCAGACACGACCTCTCGTCAGAGATGTCGCCCCAAATGGACAGGACAGCAACTTTCATATAAGAAAAAAACATCTGGTATAAAGCCCCAGCTGGGGCTCGACACGAAGACAGACAGACTGACCGACCGTCAGTCGCAATGTGACTTTGACTTTGACTTTGACGGAACGAAGTAGTCACGTCGAGTTGGAAGTGAAGAGTCGAGCTTCGAGACGTCAGCCTGTCGGGATATGAGCTTGGAATTGAACTTAGTCGAGTCTTCGGAATTGGCAGTCGCATAATAAAGCCAAGAAACAGAATCAGACAGTGCAAAGAAGACTTCATATGTGATTTGAAGTTTCAGTGAGACTTATAAATCTGTTGCCAGGATACGACTGGTGAAGACTGACAACTCTAGTGCGTGTGGAACGGTGAACTGCAAAGTGTGTATATCAGCGATAGCCCTGTAATTACCTGTAGTCCCTAGTTGTGAATGAATAAAGTGCTAATAAATCCAATCATCCAATCCAGAACTTGTCTTATAAGTCATGCACACCTCCCCTAAACGTGACAGTTTATTATTATCATCATCATCATCGCAATATTTTTGGTACAGCGTTTTCTTAAGTATAAATTTTGTCTAAGTAAAACCTGTCGAGGGCCGGTCACGGTAGCCGAGCGGTCTAAGGCATGCATTGTCTTCGCTCGCTCGGAAGCCGGGATCGTGGGTTCGAATCCCACTCAGGGCATGGATG